AATCGATTAATCATTTGAGTCATTTATGTAGAAAAAAAAAAAGTCAAAATTCTGTAATTTCAGTTTCTTAAATGTGAACATTTTCTGCTTTCTTTAGTCTTCTATGACAGTAAACTGAACATCCTCAGGTTGATTGACATTTGAGGACGTCACATCGGGCTTTAGAGATACAGTGACTAACTGATTGATAATAAAACTGCGGTTAGTCGCAGTCCTGGCGTGACCCGTCTCTCCGCACCGGGATCAGAAACGCCTCCTTTACCTGTGTGAGTCGTTGGAGAAGCCGAACGCGTGAACTCCTGCAGAGTGGCCCTTCAGGTCGAAGGCTCTCGCCACCTCTCTGAACTCTCCTCCCTTCCCGAAGCAAACCTCCCACACCTTCACGTCAGGAGTGAAACCGCACGACGCTACGAACCTGAGCACAGAGACGGAGGGCAAGAAACAATTACACCTCCACCTTCCTCTGTTTGTTTTTACTGTTGGAGAAGTTTATTACAGAACTGAAGACAAAACACTTATTTGATAGTTTGATCGTTAAGTAGAATGACTTTGTATTTTCCATTTTACGTTAAGTATCGAGTCACTTCTCTTTGAAAAGCAGTGTGAAGAGTGAAGAGATCTACACTTGGTCTTCTAAGAGGAAGGTTTGCAGTGACGGAGGGGGGGGGACTGACCTGCCACATGGGGAGATGGCAGCGTATGAATTGGTAATCTGGTTAGTGTTGATAGAGGCCAGTACCTCTCCTTTCAGGTCCCAGATGTGGATGCTGGTGTCGGTGGAGGCGCTCATGATGAACTTGCCTGCGGAGGGGAAACAACAATCACTGATTTTAAAGACGTAGGGAGCGCTCTCCTCTTGTACACAAAGTATTTAAAAGGTGCATATGAACCAGAACTACACTGACTTTAAGACGCTGTGTGTTCTGTACCTGTCTCTGCGATGCCGATGTTGAGGATGGGGGCTTTGTGTTTCTGTGGGAAGTCCTCAGGAGCAGCTTTGAAGGTTAAAGTGCCGTCCTCCTTCTTGATCATTTTGAAGATTCGGATAGTGTCTCCATTGGCCAACCAGGTGATAAACGCCCTGCAGGGATAAAGGTGAGAGTCAGCGAGGTGCCTGAATCCTAAAACGAATCCAGACCAACTGAAATGTAACACAGAACGGTGCTCCGGTTCCATGCTGTACGTTACAGTCGGAGTCGTACCTGGAGTCCGGGCTGAAGCGGACCAACGTGGCGTGATCCAGCTCCACGTTGGCCCTCAGGCACTTGTGCTCCCGCTCCAGGAAGTCTTTGGTGCTCCAGATCCGGACGGTGCGGTCGTCGGCGCATGACGCCAAGTACTTCCCGTTGCTGCTAAAATCAAGGCACGTCACGTTCCCGCTGTGGCTCTGAAACACACACACACACACACACACTCAATTAGTTAGAGCTTTAAGGCCTAAAATCAGATAAAATACACTCAGCTGTAGGGCTGAACGATTAATTGCATTTGCGATAATATCGAGATACGATAAAACGCAATGTATGACAGTTGTATGGCCAAAATGCCGAGCACCAGCGTCTGTGTGTTGTTGTTGTTGTTGTTGTTGTGTACCTGAGATAAGTGAGGTTGATCTATATTATAATATTCAAATGTTTTTTTATTGTCTAATTTAAAAGTGCATTTCTCCGTTTTTTATTTACTTTGATTTTACAAAATATTTTCAAAGTAGTAGAGGCAAATTCTGTTTCAGCAGTAAGATACAGATCATTTTACATTATTGTTTAAGACTGTAACCTTGTTTTTAAAGAGAATC